GAATAATTATATTGAATATATATTAAGCTAGTGGTTATGACACGTCCATAGGGAGACTGAGTCGCAGGTTAAAAATGATCGAATTTGGCGACGTGACGTCGGCGACCACGAGCTGCACTCCGTCACTCAGGCCCAAGTCTGCGCAGCAAAAACAAGGTATATAAGAAAGATTATAAGACGATAAGGAGGCAGCTTTGTTTTTTTATAACTTCACGACTCCATTTCAAACTTATAAAATACAAAAAAAATAATTTTCCAATTGAAAGACTAATTGGTATTCCTCGAATATCGTTCAGGACATCTTGAGACGAGGATTGAAAGCCTGAGGGGAAAATGCGAATTAAGCATAAAGGCTCAAAATTATTGCTTCTCGTAGTTGAAACATTCTCCAAGACGAATATTTCATGGTACTGAAAGATATTTCCTGAGATTAATACTATCAAGTCTTGCTAATTACAAACCTTTCAATCTTCACTTCAGAGATGCTCCCGAGCAACAAGCGACTGACCAGAAAACGATGCAATTTTTGTGTTCCCATTACGGTAGGCAATGAAGCACCTGCTAGATATTCTCTTCAGTCAGTGTTTTCACCCTCACGCACCAAAACAAAAATTAAACTTTATCATTGTGCTTGATATAGGATCGCATACCATGAGTCGCACCACTACTCACCAGCTAAAGATATTTTAAGATATTGTCTAAGTTTTTGTTCTATAGATGCAGGCGAGTGCAGATACAGGGACTTAGTCTTGCCTTCTATCATCGCTTGAATACCAGGGTTGCTCATCTGCAAGTCGCAAGATACAATTTACAGTTGTCACGATAGAAAAGTTGAAATTTTTTGACTGCTGAAATTTTGTTGGGACATTATGGAAATTAATTCTGGGTATGGTTTTTAACTTTTCTGACCATTAAAAAGTCTTAAATTTCATATATTCGACTAATGAACATGAATATTGACTGACATTCTCCGTACTAAGGGAATTATGGCACATTCTAGAGAATTTTACTTTTAGTGGTCAAATTGGCCAATGCTGTATTGTTTCATTTCCAAGACAACTAAGTTGAAAAGGATTTATGAAAGGATAACTAATATTTTAGTTACTCTAAGCTAGCGCCAGAAGCTGATTTAAAGATGAAGTATGTTATTACAAAAAGCTCATTTGACATAATATGTAGTGCAGGCCAAGATGATATTTTCTTCAGCTGTTTTCCATCAATTAAATTTTTTTTTCACAGAGATATTATCGGTGTACGAGGTAAAACTTACTTGATACTGCGGAGAATCTTTCAATTTGTCAATTAGATTTTGTAGGGAGTCTGTAGGAGCCATGGACAGCTCTTGTGGCACCTGGCCGCACACCAAACAAGTGCTCTGCAAACAAGTTAGACTAGATGAAGGGATATGTATAAACCTGAATGCAAAATGAAAAATTAACCATAATGTAGGATGTGTACTTTGGTGATAATCTAACGCGCGTCACCAACATATAAGTGCGTTCTCAGCAGGTCGTAACTCAAGAGCTATTTCTATATGTCTTAAAACGTTGTTATTTTCAAACGATTTAGTCGTGAATGGCTTTTGAGCAACCTTTTTCTCGTGTTCGTAAGTATAGGTGTATATGCCGTCAGCGTCGTTGAAGACGCAGTAGTTGTTCATGTGGTGCGCGACTTGCGTGGCGACCTTAAGGCACTCTGTGGCGCACGCCGCGGCGATCACGGCGTTCGTGGACGCCACCGCCGGGATAATGTGCTTGATGACGCCCTGCGTCAGGCGGTACGACACCCCAGTGATATCTGCGACACATGATTCACACGTCATCATGGCGGTACTGGCATACCAG